TAATTAAACAAAGTGGCAAAGCTGTACAAGTAAACAACCCAGGCACACATTCCCCCAGTTTGCACAATCTCTTTCGGCCTAATTTAAATATTTAATTCGGTCAATTTCAAAAATCGTCAAAGTAGCCGAGTGTTTTCTGGAGCGAGGTCTCTCCCTCGGGATATTTTTTTTATTATTATCCCGGTGCGAAACGGTTTACGGAATATTAATGGTCATCGATGAGAGGAGATTAATTTAATTTTTAAAACGCCCTTCGATATTTTAGTTGGAAATTTACATGTTAAGGACATCCTATTAATATTTTGTCAATATTGACTATTGAAAATGGCCCTGGTACCATAAAAATTAAACACTAATTTGAGAGGATTCTTCAAACCCATCTCTTTTTTGGGAACAAAGAAGAAGGTTCTGGAAAACATAAAAATGTGATCAGTTCCAGTTCTTTTCAGCCTTACTCTTCATTTTCTAGCTTCTTTTCACATTATTACCAGCTCATTTACAAAACTTCAGGTTCTAGATTTGCTCTTTTCATCTAGTGAAGTGTAAATTTTAACTATCAGAGTCTTTGAAAAGTTAGCTAACCAGTAAAAACAGTTATAGCTGTATTTTGACTACCGAATCGCCCCATTTGTGTCAATGTACAGTTGTTGATTGTTTTATCCACCGAAGTCGCTTTTGGAACATTCGGACGGGAGCGGCAGACGGAGCACGGAGCCGAAGTCCGACAAACAGTACTTGGAGCATAAGCCGTATATTCTAGAATACCAACGAAAATCTTGCACTCATTACGAGGACGGGTTTGGTAAACAACCTAGCAAATTTAGGCTGTTCTTGCTTTACCTACTTGAAAAAACAGGAAGATCTGCTTGGAGTCGCTATCCAACAGCTTTCAAATCATATGGAGTTCAAACGAACGCTTTGGTCCGTAGCTGGGTTCCAGCTGCTCACTTCGTGTCCTCCCACTCTCAGTGTCTTCTGTCTTCGTTCTAGAATTAGTGCGCACTGAGTGTGTTCGTGTCTTTTTCTACCAGCTTGTATAGAAACGAGATACCCTCATACATATGGAAGTATGAGATCCCGATTATAGCCGAAGGCTATTGTGGCAGTCTGCAACTTGTATTTTGATATACTATTACAGCCACTCATAAAGCTGGTAATTTCAAGAAATTTAAGAATTTTTTGGTTTCTTGACAAGAAATCCTGATCTTGAAATAGGGAATCTTGACTTGTCTTGAGAACAGTTTCAGGTTTTTTGACTTGAAATTTTCTTGTATTCAAGTCAAAATCAAGTCAAGAACAAGAAATTTCTTGAACATCGTGAAACCCTAATTTTTAAATATTTTAGAGCCCTATATTGAAGCTCCAATAAAGTGTTCTAAATTAGTTTAAAAGAGTTCTTAAAGGTTTCCAGTTGTAAATTAAATCCCAATTGTTCTAGAATAACCCTGAAGTTACTGATTTATTCCAAAATGCTCCTGAAAATTCTGATTTGAATTTGAACTGTTTTGGATATTTCATGTATAAATATCAATATTTTCTTTATTCCAGGCTCTTGAATTTTCCTTATTTAAAGATATTTGCAGAAAACGGAAATTCAAGAGCCGGGAATAGACAAAAAAATGAATGAAAAAACTTAATCAAAATTGAGAAATGGAAAGAGAAAATTGAGGAAAAGTAGGAAGAAATTGGTTGACAAGTGAAAATATCAACATTTTCTCTATTCCAGGCACTTGAATTCAATTTATTTGAAATAAACTGAAGAAAAAAGAAATTCGAGAGCCGGGAATAAATAAAAATTGAAAGGAAAAAACTGAGTTTTTTTTGGAGAAGAATTAGTGGAAATGTGCAGAGTGATCAATGCTTATACTAGAAATCCTAAGAGTCTTCTTAGAATAAAACAAGATATTTGCAGAAGAATGATTCAGCATTTAGGACCCAAAGATTTTTGTCTTCTTTAGGAAAACAGCGGAAAATTGGGCCGATCAAGTAAATAAGATTTGATCCCAAAATCCGCATTCAAGAACGGAGAAAATCGATCAAGAATCAAGACTCAAAGATTCTTCCAGTATTTTCCAAAGAATTAGCAGATAATTAGGAAAAAAGGAGACCAAAATGAAAAAGAAAATTTGAAATGAAAAGAGGAAATTTCGGAAAAAATTAGGAAAAAATCGATTGGCAAGTGAAAATCAGTATTTTCTTTATTACAGGCTCTTGAATTTTCCTTATTTAGAGACATTTGAAGAAAACGGAAATTCAAGAGCCGGGAATAGACAAAAAATGAATTAAAAAACTTAATAAAAATTGAGAAATGGAAAGAGAAAATTGAGGAAAAGTGGGAAGAAATTGGTTGACAAGTGATATTTTCTCTATTCCAGGCACTTGAATTCACTTTATTTGAAAGAAACTGAAGAAAAAAGAAATTCAAGAGTTGGAAATAAGCAAAAATTGAGACAGGAACACTGAGAATTGAATAGAGAAGGAATGTAAAAAATTAAGTTGAATTTTTGAAAAATCCTAACTCTCATTCTGTTGATTCTGTTGTAGATGGAAACTTGAAATTTTCAGTCAATTTTATCCTAGTGGAGGACTACAATCCCTGAAAATTTCAAATCCTTATCAGAGCTGTTTTTTTAAATACTTGAAATATATAGGTACTTAAGTACAAAACGATATTTAAGTATAATATTATGACTTAGGTAATAATCCAAGGTACTCAGGTACAATTTCAATTTTTTCACATTTTTACTTATTAATACTTAAAATATCATTCAATTAGTATATTTTACTTGAAATCTTCCGAAAATTTGTACTTAAAGTGTTACTAAAATACTTGAGTAAAAGTGAAATTAGGTATTTTAAAATACTTAAGTACAATATACTTGAAAACCAAAATAAATCCAATAATCTAGTATTCAGTTATGCAAGATGCAACTCTATTTATGTTAGTGTGTGTGTGTAGATTGTTGGTAGACTGGGTAGTGGTAATTTGGGACTAGACACAAACCATTCAAGCCAGTCAGCCCAAATATTCATATCTCCCATTAAAATTATAGATAGTAATAATTCAATTTATCATTTTAATTCGAACATAACTTAAAATAAAAAAAAAGGTACCAACTTAAATTATTTTTTGAAATACTTATTTCTACTTAAATGTCATTTTAAGTAAGCAAGTTTGAGTAAATACCTAAGGGCCAAACTATGGACCGACTGATAAGTGTCAGGTGGAAAGTACATGCTAGGTAATAACCTGACACTTACCAGTCGGTCCATAATTTAGCCCCCTAAACGTGACTCTGATTTTTGTGGAATTTGGTACTTGTACTCGAATTTGAACAATTAAAGTCAATCTATTTGATATTTTAAGTATTCCTTCTGTAATCATTTACTTGTACTGGTACTCGATTCTTATTAAAAAAGAAATTTGTATTAAATACTTAAGTACCTATCCACTTTTTCTTGGCACTTACAACTGTGCTTATAGTTCCAGAGATGAAATCGCGTCAATAGCTTGTTTGAGAGTCAACAATTTGAGCTTCAATGGAAGATAGTATTTGATATTTGAGACTGGGTCTCCCTTTAAATTTTGTTATAATCTATGAGCTGGAAGGGAGTATCCTCCAGAGTCAGGAATATTGCAATATAGCTCACTAAGTCAAAATAGCTTGAAGCGGTTTTTTGCAAATTCAAATTTGACTTCATTTCCTATAGAATAGTTGTAAATAGCTGGCAATGTACAGTAATCTTGCCTATTTCTGTGCTAAATCTAGTCTTTCATTCGTATAAAGAACGCAATTTTTAGGAACTCATAGGAAGCAATTTCAAGAAAATATTAGCAGCTTCAAAAGACCGTATACTAAGTATTAAAGTTGGCAAGATCTGTTATTTTTTGGTTGGCATTACTTTCTTCAACATCAAACTTTGATGATGAACTGATAGAAGTCAAGGAAGCTGTATGTAGGACTTTGGAGTGGGATTTTTCTTTTTTTTATTGGTAATCAGTATAATTACTTACTACCATAAACTCAAGTTGTCTGAGTTCAGCTCAACCTCCAAATCATGCGCTAACCCTGGAATATGGTTGAGGATCTGACTCTTTTCTGAGACAAAATTGCATTTCGGAATGGTTCAGAGTCGAGTCGAAAGGGCTAAGTATGGATTTCCTTTTGGATTCATAGTTGAAAAATATAGCTTTAAAGTAGAAATTTTGATGAACTTTGAAGCATGCAAATGGAAGAAATCATTAATGAAACTACAGGTAAATTATTTGCAAATTTAATGAGACAGCAGACAATTAATTCAGCTTCAGGTAGAAGCTTATTTCAACACAAATGCTACAAACGAAACTGTGTTTTAGAGCGTCCTGTTCTAGGGCACTCTAAAATGGTTCTAAAATTTCCAAAACGTTTTGAACGTGCTGCAAACGTCTGCCTCCAGACGTTTTTCTAAGACATTCTAGAAACGTCTTCAATGAAATGTCTTAAATACGTCTTTAAATCTCTTTTCAATACATAAACCATTTTTCACTTTTAGGCCTAGTTGTACCAAATAGTTGCCTTTAAGATGTGAATCTTACGACATCATATAACGTCTTCTAGACATCTTTTTTGACATAATGCTGAAAAAAGACGTCTTTAACACTTTGCGTGCTCTCTGAGATATGACAATAGGTTGATGGTCACACTGTGACAACGTTAACCTACTTGAGAAAAATAGGTTTTTAAAGTTTTTAACTCTATTTGAATGTGAAACCTTAAAACGCAAAAAAAACCTAATGAACCTAAAAAGCCTGAATTAAACTTCGTCACTAACGTGTGAACTATTCCGAGGAGATTCTTTTTTACTTAAACAACCCACGTCCTAAGCTATGTGTGTAACGCAAAAACTGACTTTGCCTTGTTCTAATTGGCCGGATCCGATAGGCAGCGTAATAGAAATGGCGTGCGTCCATTGGTCCAGTCTAATATAAAACGTAAAACGGAGTTTGGTGCGCTCTCATACTTCGTGCTGCTTGTTGCTGACTACGACGACTTCCACCTGATAGCTATAGCTGACTTCGTATAGCGCTAGAAAGTTTAGATTTTGCTAGTGCGCTTTTTCTAAAGTTTGCGTGGTTTTGTGTTATTGGTCATACTTACTGGTAAGTCGATTTTTTACAAAAATCTATACCAATTGATATCAAACTTTTAAAAAAAATTAATTGAACCTAGTATAGGTATACTTACCGGTTACAATTTTCACTTATAGACTATGAAAATTGGTTTTGTTCCAACATATTTTGGTCACAAATTGGCAACCAATCTGTAGGTAGGTATTTTCATGTTCATTATCAGCACAATCATGTATTTAATTATGTATATAAGTATACCTAACTACATTTCAAAATTACTGCACTCTGAGGTAGGCTTCATAAACCTAAATTTGACTTGAAATAAAAGCCATCATCAATGAGTTACAAAACACAATGAATCTTTTTTTTATGTGATATCCAAAGCACGCACCTGAGTCAAATTGATTCCTTTTTTTTTATGGGGAATATAGAAATCTTAGCTCCATTATTTTTTAATGTACAAAGAGTTTTCAGTATAAAAATTTAATCAATTCTCGAGCAATTATAAATAGATTTTTCTTTGATTAAAGCTACAATATAATCACCAACAGTTTCTAAATTTAATTGAAAAGGTTGGAAAAGAAAAAAATTGCTTCCAAGTTTTGCAGCAATTTGAAGCTTTGCTTTGGGGATCCACAAAAAAATTTGAATTTCAAGAAATTTCCAATTCAGTCATTTGAATTTTTGAATACTCTAGTCCTAAATCAATCAGCAGAATCCTAAATCATACTAAATCAGAGCCCTAAAATCTGTAGTGTTATTTCTTTAGTGCTTAAGACATTGATTTTTGAACTTTCTAGAGATTTTTGAATCAAGAGTTTTAGAATTTTTGAGCAGGCCTTAAATTTGGAATCTTAAGATTAATGATGATGAGTCTTTGGTCTTCTGTTTCAAATCTTGAATACTGAGACATTGACACATTGAACTTTGAAGCATTGTAAAGTATTGAATCGCTTTCCAGTTCTGTTTTTTGGAATCTTTGAAGTGATGAATTTTGAAAACCTTTGAAGGTCTTCAAAATTTTCGGAATCTTTGGAGCTTTCAAGGGACTGACAGTGTTTGGATTGCAAATTTATTCCAGGGAAGATTACTGTCTCAGGTCTTCAATAACTCGCTCCACCGTTTGAATCTTGGAAAAAAGGTCTCCAAAGTTTTCAGAATCTACAAATTTTTTACTCAAAAATCTTCATACTTTTGAGCTTAAAGTCGTCTTTTGTTCAATAGCTTTTAATACATTTTGACTAGTCATTGTAATAATTTTAATAATTCTTTATAACCTACAAAGTTTCTAGCCTATTTTTCGCACCATAGGTGATAATATAATAAACGTGGCTAAAAGAAATAAAACACTCAATTGCCAGCAGGGCTGAAAGTTTATTTCTCTGTAAAATGTTTCAGTGTTTCTCTCACTCGCTCGCTCATTTCCTGGCGGCAAACATAAAATCCAATTTAAAAGCAATACTGGCTTATTTTTTATGAGGGAATTCCATTCGATATTTATTTTAGTGCCTAACTAATTCCGCAAGTACACAATGAATATATTGGGAAAGTGATAGTTTTGATACAAAATAACTTTTTCTTTGATCTTTTATCTATATTATTTTGTTGCAATGGAAAAAAGATATAAAACATGACAATAATGGAATTAAATACTTCATACTTTTCATGAAAGCGAAAGCCCCATTAAAAGCAATTCCTGCAGCGTGGAAAATATACATTTATTATCCAATTAGGTAACTGCGAAACGGATTTATGAAGATAAGTGGACAATTCAAATAAATTATCCAGCTTTCCAGTTCAATTGGAGAATAATTTTCCAACAGCACAATGCATAATGCTTCGGAAAAACCCAACATTATTAAAACTCTGGATGATGAGTTGGTTAATATTATTGGCAGCCAAAAAAACGACTGGAATTTTTATATTAAAAAATGTTTTTCTTGTTTTATGCAAACCAAAAATGATACTGTACAAGGAAAAAATCCTTTTAGAAACATGTTACTGCTTTTAGTTCTGAAAACAAAACTTTGATAAATATTTTTGGGTTAAAAAAAAATAATGAAGGTATTTAGATTCAACTAGTTTAAGCATTGCGGACCATATAAAAATAGAATTTTAAATCACCGCAGGCCTTTTAATTATTACCAACTTTAATCAAGCGTTTACTTAAATTATATATAGTGCGCTTGAATTAAACTTTATTTATTTATCATTACCTTAAATAGTATTTTAGAGGTTAATTTATTTTATACATCCCTTAGCCTCAAGGTTTCCATCAAGTATAAATGCATCTAGATTCTATTCTCTAATGGATGACGTAATATCCGGGTTGAGTATTTATGGTCTTCAGTCTGAAATCCTGAATAATGAGACATGGGTCTCTAGAGTTGAATGGTTTATATTCAATCTTAAGTTTTCACTCTTAAGTTCTGTACTTTTAAATATTCAAAGCATTTAAGTTTTATGTTATGAATTTCGGAAATCTTGAGAGCCTTCTTTGGAGAATCAAGAGACTGATTGTCTTGGGTCTTCATTTTTTTTTTTTTTTTTTCAGCAGCGTTTCAATATAGAAAACGGATATCACAGATGCCCTTTGGATTAAAAAATCCCCCGCAGCATTCCAACGAGTAAAGGATGACGTAATATCTGGGTTGAATCTTTATGGTCTTCTTTCTGAAATATTAAATAATGAGACATGTGATTCTGAAGTTAAATGATTCATATTCAATCTTGAAGTTTCACTCTTAAGTTTTGTGCTTTGGAATCTTCAAAGCATTTAAGTTTTAAGTCATGAATTTCAGAAATTTTTAAAGTCTTTTTTGGAGAATCAAGAGACTGATTGTCTTGGGTCTTCATTTTTTTTTTTTTTTTTCAGCGTTTTAATATAGACATTACAGATTTAATCAAACGCCCTTTGGACTAAAAAATGCCCCCGCAACATTCCAACGAGTAATAATAGATGACGTAATATCCGGGCTGAGTTCTTATGGTCTTTTTTCTCAAATATTGAATAATGAGACATGTGACTCTAAAGTTGAATGCTTCATATTCAATCTTGAAATTTCACTTTTCAGTTCTGTGCTTTAGAATCTTCAAAGCTTCAAAGTTTTACGTCATGAATTTCAAAAATCTTGGAAGTCTTCTTTGGAGAATCAAGAGACTGATTGTCTTGTCTTTAATTTTCTTTTTTAGCGTTTTAATATAAAAAACAGACATTATAGATTTAATCAAACGCCCTTTGGACTAAAAAATGCCACCGCAAGATTTCAACGAGTAGGTAATGGATGACGACGATGACGTAATATCTGGGTTGAGTCTTTATGGTCTTCTTTCTCAAATCTTGAATAATCAGACATGAAACTCTAAAGTTGAATGCTTCATATTCAATCTTAAGTTTTCACTCTTCAGTTCTGTGCTTTTGAATGTTCAAAGCATTTAAGTTTTACGTCATGAATTTCAGAAGTCTTCTTTCAAGAATCAAGAGACTGATTGTCTTGGGTCTTTAATTTTTTTTTTCGGCGTTTTAATATAGAAAGCGGACATACAGATTTAATCAAACCCCCTTTGGACTAAAAAATGCACCCGCAGCATTCCAACGAGTAATGAATGACGTGATATCCATGTTGAGTCTTTATGGTCTTCTTTCTCAAATATTGAATAATGGGACATGTTATTCTGAAGTTGAATGCTTTATGTTCAATCTTAAGTTTCCACTCTTCAGTTCTGTACTTTTGAATCTTCAAAATATTTAAGTTTTTTAAGTCATGAATTTCGGAAATATTGGAAGTATTTTTTGGAAAATCAAGAGACTGAATGTCTTCGAACTAATCATCACTGGTAATGAACGGTTTAATAGAAATGTTTATTTATTTATCAACGTATAAACATTTACAAGTTTACAGACATACAGATATAGTGGTAAACATAGTCAAGAAAAAATGGCATCTTGTAGCGAATAGTGTTCAGATTCCTTTGGATAGATTTGCTGAACTGGTTATGTTTGTTTTCGATAATAATTATTTTAAGTAGGTATCAGGAAAACTTAAAAAAAAAATCCTTGTTAAAATGTTATTCAACCCATTGTGGATGTTAAATGGATATCCAAAATTGTTTCACATTTAAATTTTACAGAGCAAGCATTAAATTCAAACTTACACTTATTTAGCTGAATACGTCACTGAATGTTGTTTTAAATTACCACAAGTAACTTCAGCGTTATTTTTTTTAATCAAAATGCCTTAATATGTGTTTCTTTATGTTGCTTTTTTGTCCAAATTTTGCTTTTCAGGTGGCACATTCAAAAGAATAAATATTCGAATGTGTTAGTTTGTGTCTTTTTAAATCACCTTTCCGTTTAAATTTTGCTTTGCAAGTGTCACATTCAAAAGAATAAATATTTGAATCTGTGAGTTTGTGTCTTTTCAAATGGACTTTTCGTTTAAATTTTGCCTTGCAAATGTCACATTCAAAAGTATAAATATCCGAATGTGTTAGTTTGTGATTCTTCAAGTCGTCTTTTCGTTTAAATTTTGCTTCGCAAGTGTCACATCTCACATCCAAAAGAATAAGTATTCGAATGTGTTAGTTCGTGATTATTCAAATAGCTTTTCTAATATAGAAAACGGACATTACAGAATTAATCAAATGCCTTTTGGATTAAAAAATACCCCCGCAACATTCCAACGAGTAATGGATGACGTAGGTATTATCCTGGTTGAATCTTTATGGTCTTCTTTCCCAAATTTTGAATAATCAGACATGGGACTCTAAAATTGAAGGCTTTATATTCAATCTTAAGTTTTCACTCTTCAGTTCTGTGATTTTGAATCTTCAAAGCATTTATATTTTAGGTCATGAATTTCAAAAATCTTTGGAGAATCAAGAGACTGATCGTCTTGGGTCTTTATTTTTTTTTCAGATTTTTAATATAGAAAACGGACATTACAGATTTAATCAAACACCCCCTTTGGATTAAAAAATGCCCCCGCAACATTCCAACGAGTAATGGATGACGTAATATCCGGGTTGAG